TCAGTAACCCAGCATAGAAGTGGGAAAATGAACAGCAGACTCCAATCTTATCTAAAGGAATGTTGGCAACTTACTGATGCTAGATGAGGAAAAGCTGATCTTCCTAAAACAAGGAATTCTAGATAGGCCAACTAGACTCAGCAGATGGGCTTGCACTGAGGAACGTCTGGGGACACTGACAGCATAATGGACAGTAACAAGGATGACAGAGTATATGGGCTCCAGTGGTGGGGGAGGGCTATGGAAGGGTGCCATTTGGGATGTGGGTATAAAGGTGAATCAGATTGTTTGGATGTTCTATATTAAATACACAAAGAAACAATAAAAAAAGAAAATAGAGTAATAGTCCACTACAAAGTAATTACCCCTTTAAATGCCAGTCATTCTAGGCAGTAAGGGAACACCGATGGTACTGTGTGCACTAATATATTAGTTATTACGAATGAGTGGAAATGAAGCGAATACAAAAACAGTAAGACTAGTGATCATTATTGATATGATAGAGAAAAAAGTACAGGAGGGAAACATGAGCAGGAGGAGCTGTAGGGGCAATTTTAAAAATGGGGGAAGGAGATGGGGGGCTGGTTAAACATAGACTGGAAAGAGTGAGGTAAAAATATAACAGATAACTTAGAATGGTATCATCTATAGGAAGCTGAGCCACAGAGACTGTAATCTGGGTCAGTCTATACTATATGGGATGGGATAAAGAAAAAAGAAATAAAAGGAAGAAAAGAGGTAAAGTGGTATAGAGTGAGAACAGAGAGGGACAAAGCTTGCCTGCTAAGTTGGCATTGGTATTAAGTAAAGAAGGAAAAGATAAGTGGCAGAGAGAGCTGGGTGGAGATATGAGATGAAAACTGACTGGTCTGATTGCTGGACGATTCTGTCTAGAGTCTCATGCTCCTTCTCTAGCTCCTAGAAGCCTGTTTTGCCACTGGGAGCTCCTCTTCGATGTGTGTGGGGGGGGGGGGGTTCCATACTCCTTTGGATGTTTGGATTACTGATGTTCTGGTCCCTGGACATTGATTCACAGACCACAGTTCCATTTTTTTTGCAGTGGAAATAGAAATTATAAATTGTGCATTTTTCTTTAGGGGAGAGAGATAAGACACTCACACAAGTTGTCTGTGCCCCAGTCCCCTTGCTATTATTTTTCTATATCATCAATACCTCAGTTTACACCCAGAGCATCTGACAAGATTGCTTTGAATGGAGGCAATCAAGGTACTGACAGGTCTCAGGCCCCAAAGAAACTGAGTTATCCATGCGGTGAATCGGGATTTTGGAAAGGCCTGCAGGGAAGGAAATGGGCAGACTCTTGCTCAGAACAATTCTCTGTGCTAGCCCCCATTGTTAGAGGCACAGGTAGTCATTTCCCAGTGAGCCAGCATGTTCTGGGACACTTCTATGTTTAAAGGACATTTGATGTACTTCTAAGCCTGGGGAAACATAAGCCCACTCAGTCCCCACCCATTCCCAGTCTATGTCATGGTATCTCTCTGGGCACAATTGGATGGGAGCCCAGTGACATGATTACAACTAGCTACTGTGAAGAAAATCGTTTAACCCTCTTCTCTGGATGAGTCTAGAATGTGAACACTCACTGTACATAAGGTTTAAGCACTCAGTCAGTGGGTCTCTAGTTGTCAGTTCTGGTTCTAGAAAGCTATTTTTCTGTAGGCTATCTGTCTCATTCCTTGAGAGTGGTGCCTCTCCATGGAAGCACCCAATTGAAATCTGGTCAGAATATCTGCCACTATGATTAAATAATCATTGCCAGTCTTGCACCCAAATCAAGAGTCTTATTTTGCATGATCAGGCACAATTCATCAGAATAAGGATAGGCTTCTCTGGTACTTAAGTTGTAAGGCTCTTTATCTGTTTCCAAGCTAGCCATATGTTCCTGAAAGAATGTCAGTGGACATGGGCTCTTCTCATTTCTTTCCCAAGTGTAACCATGATGTCCCCACACTGGTGTTCACATCTCTCCTCTATAAGCTGGGCACTCCATATGCCTGACCTATCCACTGATGTGGCAGTACCACATTAAAGAAAAAACTTCTCTTACAGTAGTTTAACCAAAAGTGAGTCTGATATATTCTGAAGTGTTCCAATTTCTCTCAGAATTGTCTCATAAACTTTCATTCACATTTATTGAACAGCATATCAAGATTGGTATGAAACAGGCATGAACAGTCTTTGATAACAGTTTTACAGAGGAAGAAGTTGGTTTTCTGACCCAAATGACTCAGAACAGCATACAAAGCAACAAAATAGATGTTATCAATCTATGGCCAGTGTTGCTTTCAATATTTGTGGGAGAGCCATTTTCAATGTCATCATTGTTTTCAACATCATCACTGTCCCATCTCATGCACACATACATTGCCCTAAGTCAGAAGCATAACTGAGTCACAACTAAGGAACATGGTATAAGATTAAGGCTATACACTTAGCTTAGCTTGTAAGAATTAGTTACATCTGGACTCCAAATCACTGTAGGATTTATTACATTGTTTTTCTTAGAGGTCAGTTAATTCTGAACAAGCTGAGAACTCAGTATGTGAACCTAAGGAATACATATATATATCGTCCTAAATGTTCTCAAAACATGTGACTAACTTGGTTTATGAGATTATGCAAAACATAAAATTTATAAATACTTTTTACAAAGTGTCATTCTCAGAAAAGTCATCCCCACACACTGGTGTGTGAGGAGGGGTAGCAGGCACTGGGTAGGTAGGAAAATCCAGGATGGCAGAAAGTCCTTGAAATGGTGCCCCTTACTACCTGCTCCCAAAAGGATTAGGCATGTTTAGCTCAGCCTTCAGTCTAGGGTAGAGGTCAGAAAGATCTAACATACATTTCCTGGACACTGGGGCTCTTTGGTCCCCAAAATACCAGTGCAGAGTCCTCCAAACAATCACTAGAGGGGAAAGAACAGACAAATTAAATGGCATTGAGAATTAAGGAAGTCTCCATGGCATTCATAAGGGAAGACCTACCACAGTCACTGTGCTGGATAGCTTTAGTGTCAACTTGACACACCTGGGTTGAGGGAGCCTCAATTGGGGACTTGCCTTCATTGGACTGGCCTGTGGCCATGTCCGTGAGGCATCTTCTTGATTGCTGAGTGATGTGGGAGGGTCCATCCCACTGTGGGTGGTGTTATCCCTGAGCAGCTGGGCCTGTGTTGCATAAGAAAGCAGACTGAGTAGGGGTTAGGGGAGCAAGCCAGTAAGCAGCATTCCTCCATGGCCTGTGCTCCAGCTCCTGCCTCCAGGTTCCTTCCCTGAGTTCCTACCTTGGGCTCCCTGATGAACTGTGACCTGAGAGTTGTAAGATAAAATAAACCCTTTCCTCCCCAAGTTGGTATTGGTCAGAGCATTTTGTCACAGCGATGGAGAGGTAAATCAGGACAGTCACATAGACCTTTGCCTTTACCTGAACTAGGAATTTATTGATTTTGCTATGCACAATGACGGACTTAATTGTTCGTGTGTGGGTAAGTTATGTGTCTGTATATGTGTGTAAGTTATGTAACTGTATAGGGTAGAATAAAAATGTCTAGAAAAGGTTCCATTAACAATATGAGAGCTTCTTTTTAAAAAAAATTTTTAAATGTAATAACCGCATGATTAGAAGAAGCATTTCATTATAGCTTTAACATATTCAGTAACACATTCCAGCCTAAAGAACAGCTGAAAACCTTAGAGGATTCTGTATTCTACTCAAAAGTTAAAATAGTTTCATTATCTTAACTCAAATTTGATATGTCCTTTAAAATATGTTCAGCTGTGCAAAATGAACAATAATAGGTATATATTGAAGTCAAGTATTCCAACAGCTTTCTTATTACCTTGCCTTTAAGCAGATAAACAAATAAGTAAATAAAATTTTAGCATAACTTGCAATGCCTTGACTTTGACCTATCCTTATAACTTCTTATAACTAGCTCCACTTTCCTGCCTTAATTTTACAAAGAAGAGAAAAATATAGTTTGTTTGGAAAATGCTCTGTAGAGCCCAGCTACCAAAAAGCGAAAGACAGCAGTTTGAAATGGGATTGTTGGTAAACAGTGCTGCAGGATTAAAGCAGAGGTTAGCAGTCCTTCAGCAGATGCCTGGAAGCCCAAATTGAGACTAGAAGCTGAAGGAGCATGTGTACATGATATAGCTTCATTCCTCTGAAAGCTCCTGCCTCCCAACTGTGATCTGTATGTTGAGATCTCCCTACGTTGGAATCTCAACGTCGGAACTGGAGAGATGTCTCAGTGGTTAAGAACACTGACTGTTCTTGAAGAAGACCCAGGTTCAAATCCCAGCACCCACATGGCAGCTAACATGTTGTAAATCCATAACTACAGTTCCAAGGGATCTGACAGCCTCTTCTGTTCTCTGCAGGTGGGTGCACTTACCTACATGCAGGCAATACACACATACACATAAAATAAAATAATAATAAAAGATCTCAACATGCCAAATACATCTTAAGCAATGCTAGACCCTTCCCGTCAGCTGTGTATAAGTCTGAATAGGTGAGCTTATGCTCCAAATCAAACAACCTTTAAAATCTTAGTAACACAAAGCAAAAAAAAAAAAAAAAATGTGAATACATAAAGAATGAAAAAATTAACAAAATGTACTCTCACTCAGAGTACAGATGTCCTTCAAAAGCAGAGTCCATGAGACTCCTCAGGACTCAAATTGCTTACAGGAACATTACATATACCCACAATAAAGTCAGTGAATATTCCAGAGGCTCTAATGCCACCAAGTATGATCCATACCACTTCTGTTCACAACTTACTGACCAGAACCAGCTATATTTCCCTACTCAACTACAAGGGAGTCAGGAAAAGCAACTTGACTCTATGTGCCATAAAGAGACGAAGTCATGAGTAGTTTGCAAAATAGTTCCAATAACCAGTACATAATGTGTGTTTCATATGTATCTGTCTTTAAAATCAATTAAGAGACCATTTCTTCCACCAACAGGAGAGCTGACCCAGTACCAGAAATGACCACTCCTGAGCAAATGTACTCCAAAGTCATGCAGACTCTGAAGCATCTCAACTCTCACCTGCCCAATGGCAGCCATGTTATTTTATATGGCTTGCCGGATGGAACCTTCCTCTGGGATAATTTGCACAACAGATATCATCCTCTAGGTATAAGCTTGCAGATGTTTTACTCTTTTACTCTGTGTGTCTGTGATGTGTGATGTACATGTGTGGCATGTATGTGTGATGTTAGTGTGTGTTGAGGGTGTGTTATATGTGTGATGTGTGACGTGTGATATATGTTATATGTATGTATGACATGTGATATGTGTGTGATGTGTGTAAGGGTGTTATATGTGTGATGTGTGTGTGTGTGATGTGTGAGTGTGCATATCCTCACAGGAATAGACCTAAAATGCCATCACAGAAAGTGGGTCAGACGTGATGAAGGGAAAAGCTGTCTGCACAGTCTCTGAAGGTCACTATCCAAAGTTGGGAAGAATCAGATGGAGAGCCAGAAAGAGAAGAAGTAATTAATGAAGAATCAGAGCAACCTGAAACCTAAGCGTATAGTCGGAAAACTTCCTTAACAGCGTCCAGGTGGTCAGTTAGTACTCCATGGAACACAGTCCTTTGGGCACTTGCTCCCTGCCTCTGTCCACACCCTTTCAAGATCCTGGCTCTGAAAGAATTTAAAGTTCCCCAGAAACCTCTACTGACAGCTCTAATACTCTAGTGACTATGCAAACACCGTAGTCTTTCACATTGGGAAGAGCTGCCATACTGATCCTTAAAGAAAAAAGCTGTGAAGTTGATTTTGTTAACTACTTCAATTTTGTAGATTTTTTAATAGATGAAATGACTAAAGCTCAGAGAGGTTAAGAAGCTCACCGAAAGCCGCATTGCTCATATGCATAAGCTGTCATAGCAGGACTCAGCTTTCTGTATTTCAGAAGAGAGTGTCTTTTTAAAAACTATTAAATGCCCATTATATGTTGACATTGTTCCCAGTACTGTGATACCAGTGATGGACACATTAATACTAAATCCCTGCCTATAATTCTAGTGGAAAAAGGATTACAAATGTATATGTCAAAGAGTGGTAAGTGTCATAGGAGAAAAATTAAGTAGAGATGAGGGGCAGGTACTTGGCCTCAGTCCTCTCTGATGAGTAGCTACACGGAGAGGTCTGGGCTCCCTCACCTCAGCCCATCACCTGCATTGGTAGATCATGAAGATGGGACTGCCTTTTCCTCGTATTGCCATTCCTGCCTCCAAAGGTCACCCAAGCTAAGCTGTTCTGGAAGTCTGAGTGCAAGCTTATGAGTCAGGAGAAATTTGAAGAGGAAGACCTGAAATTCATTCCTTAGAGTTGGGTAGAAAGCAAGATTTTTCTTGGTCGAGCCCATCAGGAGCTTTCCCTTCAGTATATAACTGAATGTGATCTTTTCGATCCCTTCTCCTCCTCCTCTTTCCCTCCTCCTCCTGTTGGTTAAACCAACACTCTTACCTCCCTCAGGAAATTCCACCTCTGCTCACATGAGAAAAGAGATGATCAGCTCTCAAAAGGCTCTAGTTTCTTCACTGGAGGAGACACAGTCAACGTCATATTCAGACTCCCCTCCACTTAGGACAAAGTCATTTACCTCCTGACTCCATGAAGTATATCACAAATATCCACACAAAGCACTGTCCTGCCTTGTCTAAGGAGAACAAGCCCTTCCTGCTCATACAACTTTGTGCCCTTAGAAACAATAATGTGATCACACGGAGAAGAACTTTGCTCCTTTCTGAACTGCTTTGTGTGTTTAAAGGACAACCACTTGGGCTAGGAAAGTTTCTTTGAGCCAAGGGATTTGAAAATTGTAGTCTTGCCAAGAGATTCCATTAGACTGAGGAATTTCTCCCATGCTAAGAAATGCTTGGGGAAGGAGAAGCGTTTTTCCAATTTACTCTATCACATCAGTAGGGACTTGACTTTGAATTTTCTGATTTTAAATCCCATTTTCTTTCCATAAACTATGGTTAAACTATTTCCATAAATTCCTTCAAACTGCCCGTGCAGTTCACTTGATTTAACCACAGTAAGTAATAACGTCCCCATGCAACTTGAGAGTGAGGGAAGGAAAAAAAGATTATTAGAGACTCATCTTTCACCTTTGAGGCTTCTCTAAACCAGTGGTTCTCACTAGGGACAACCTACCCATCCCCACCTGTGTCATAACTGAGGTGGGAGGGCTGGTACTACCACATCTACTGGGTAAAGCCCAAGGATGTTGTTAGGTATCTACAATGTGCGGGATAGCCCCCCACAAACAAGAATGCCAGTGTGCCAAGGGTGGGAATTCTGCCCCTCCATCATATACTAGCATTTCACAGTGCAAATGGGGAATAGGGGACAGATGTGACCATATTTTTTCTACATATGCAACCTTACTTTAGTATGAGGAAAATCCAATTAGAGAGAAATTTGAAACCATTAAAAATTTGTTTGATATGTCTAAGCAATTATTCATATCCCAGATTATTCCTGCTACCTGGTTGCCATGGGAAATAAGTTTTTTTAAATTTTCTTTTTGGTTTTTTGAGACAAGATTTCCCTGTAGCCCCAGCTAGCCTCACTATGTAAACCAATCTAGCCTCAGTCTCACAGAGACCCACCTGCCTCTGCCTACTAAATGTTGAGATTAAAGGCATGCACCAACACACCCAGCAAGTTATAATTTTATGTGTATGATTGCTATGCCCGCATAAGTATGTAAGTGCGCCACATGCATGTGTGACTGTGAGGCCAGAAGAGGATACTGGAACCCCTGGAACTGGAGTTCCAAATGGTTGTAGCTCCATGTGGGTGCTGGGAACCCAACCCACATCCTCTACAAGAGCAAACACTGCTCTTAACCACTGAGCCATCTCTCCTACCCCATTACACTTATTTTTTTAACTTTTGAAAAATTTTATCATTTGTATTTTGTGTATGTGTGTATTGCTTGCATGTGGGTAAGTGCACCCATGTCATGCAATGCCCACAGAGGTCAGAAGAGGCTGTCGGATCCCTTGGGACTGGAGTTACAGACAATTGTTAGTTGCCATGTGGGCGCTGGGATTCGAACCCGGGTCTTCTGCAACAACCAGTGTTCTTAACCACTGAGCAATCTCTCCAGCCCCAAGTTACACATTTTTAAGAAGCATCAGGGTCCCTCCTGGAAAGACTAGTGAGGTCAGCGGGACTCTCCCAGCCTCCTCAGTCACCACTCAGCAGCTCTGATCACTTACTTACATATGGCCAGAGCCTTAGATAAAGGACATCAGCCCTTGTGCTGTCCTTTTCTGCTGCTCTCACCCTCAAACCTAGCCTGTGCATCTTCATCCCCTCCAGTCATGAACCATCCAGGAAGCAAGGCTGATGCTGGACCAGCCTCCAATACTGGCAGCTCTCCAGGTTAGAATAGAGTTTTCCTAATTAACAGCCAAGTACGAATGAGACTCTCCAGAACACTGTGTTAAACATAGTATAGGGCAAAAATAAAATGGGGGTGAGGTGTCTATTTGTTCTTCTGTTTGAGACTAGAAATATGGTAAGGAGAGTAGAGAGTATAGACTTGACTATAACCACCACACAAGGAGTAGTGCAGAAGTTAGGGAGCAGATGATGGGGAAGAACCCCTGACTGTGCCTTTTCCCTTCAATAGGATGGAACACAGCCTGACCATCCATCAGGAAAAGAGAAATGCTACAGCATTCCATAGGGAAGGGAGGCCCCAAACAAAAATAGGCTCCTGCCTCACTTCTACCAAGGAAGAAGGTGTGGCTAAGCCCTCCTAGCATCTCTCCACTTCAGCTGTGACTGAGAGTCACTTCTAGTCATTTACCACCTGCCAGGGACTGGAGCAGCCCCACAATCTCCACCAGTGCTCAAAACTCTTCAGACAGTTCATTGTCATTTGAGGAACTGCCAGAGAACAAGTCCCACGCAGTAGGATTCTACTTACATAGGTCTTGAGTAAAGTCAAGCTGGACCAGTTGTAAGCCTTCTCAGATGTGAAATATGAGGCAAGAAATCATTCTAGAAATAGGCCTGAAATTTCAATGTGATTTTGGGGAAAGATGACATAGGATGGCGTCCTTGTCCCCAAATGAAAGAGAAAAGAGCTCCACTGGGGAAACAGCAAATAGATCCTGGCACGAAAGGCAAGCACCAAGGACAACAGTGTAAGCCACAGGCATTCTGGGAACTGTCTCAAAGGTTAGGCATGGTTAAGAAGCCAAGGTTTGCTAACGACTGAGAAGTCTGCAGGTAAATCTTTGAAGGGTTTCTACCTCAAAGCCAGTAAATTTTCTGCCAATTACTCTCAAAATTGAAAGCAAATGTCATTTAAAATACCTCATAGTTCATGTTATATTCCTGACTTTCTCACAGTCTGAATTAAAGCAGTTTTAATATATTTAGATGGTATTTCATAAAGGTATGGCTGGTCTTTGTTGGTACTAAGCTTTTATGGTGCCTAAGATTTCAATCATGTGCCCAGCATTACATATATATATATATATATA